GGTGAGTGCAAAATGTTCGGTGTAACCTTACGAATAGTGAAAGAACTGGTAATTTTGTGTTGTTACGAAGGAATAGGGTTGCTGAATATGTTAGTTAACGAGGCTGTTACGTTTATGAACAAGGAAACGGGATGATGCAGTAGAACTTTCGTGGACGATGTGAAACGTCACGTAAAAAATCAAACTGCGGACGTGTCATGGCGACTTATGTTTAATATATATTTATATGCAACCATGTGTATGATAACACGCCACAACTGCGTTGACATCAGTAATTTTTTGCGGAATATAGCAACGGTGTGTAGTGATAACGAGTGAGTAAATTATATTGTGTTGTGTTTAAAAGTGAACAGATAAAAAGTGCAAGCCATCCTCTTTTTCAACATCATCATATACGTCACGTGTGAGTAATAAAACTTTTTAATTGTCTTTGCCTTCCCTGTCGGCCCTTTACGTTCTGTTAGGTTAATTATCTCCATAAAGACCTTGTTTAAAACTTGTTGTTAGGTTGTAGTGTCATTTTTCATTGTAGGATTTGAGGTTTTCACGTCCGTGAATCTGACGATGGCTGTATTGTGGGTCGGCGCAACGACCCAGAAGACTCCCATCTTCATTGCCCATTCTTTCTATAATTGTTTAGAAGTATAAATCAAACTTCTGATAGTTGTTGGACCTCTATTTGAGAAATACTGCTGTACAGAGCTCTTAAATATTTTCTTTGTGAAAATGAATGATTTTGGAATATTCTATGCTATTATTTATTTATTATATCTTGGTGGGCAAATATTGATGGCACATAGACACACCATATTGCAAATTTATCTGCCTATGTATGCTGCAAATATTGTTTGTTGTAGAAGTATATCAGAATATCCATAGTTGAAAACACACTGTATAGTAAAGAGTGGAAGTATATTATTGTTCTTCAGGGTTCGAATGCCCTGTGTACTCATAGTGAGGTTCATAAAATGCCTTAAAAGTGGCTCCACATTTTTTTACACATACTGGCAGTCTTCTTAATGCTGTGGTGTTGATGATTATGAAAATTCATTGATAGTATGGTGATGTTTGATGCTGTTATCATGAATTTTCTTTGAAGACTTTTCCACATAAAATCTTTGTGATCTTCACTCAACTTCTTAGCATCTAATCTGAGTGCACAATCCACCTCATGCTTTGCTGTAGGAAATTTTCTTCCTCGCTCACAATTCCCAAATAATTGATTGGTCAAAGTGGAAATCTAAAAGCTTGTATGACAGGAAAGAATAAATCATAAATTCCACAAGGTTTTATATATATATATATGAGTCAATTACCTTTTTTTGATCACTTTAGGATACTATCCGTTGTGATCACAGAAGGTTATGTAAGTTTTTCTTGCATCCAGCGTGAAGTAAGGTTATGTTAAGATTCTTGTTGGTGTTCTGCTAGTTCTTGAAATGGTGTCAGACAGGCATTAATTTCTGCATTTCCACATGAATATAAGGTTAAGGAGGATCTTCCTGGTAGTACAAATTTATTACATGAGACAAATTGTGGCTCATATTGGGAAGAACAGTTGACGCGTGTTAATTAATGCATAATGACTGTAAGAATGTAATACAGAAGATGAAGCATTTATGGCAGGGTTGGGTAATTTTTTCTCTGGGACCAGATTGGGCTGTGTCAGACCATGGGGTAGTGGGACTGGGGGTTGGGGGGGAAGAAGTTTGGAAACTGTTAAAGAATTAGTAATTATTTGACTGATTGATTATAGTTTATCAAACATAAAAACTGCATTATTAGTAATATAAACATTATACCCTAAACTCTGGTGCTCTCTTATCCAGTTGTAGCTCAAAAATAAATTACAGAAGTAAATGTTTGTGTGTTAGGATCCCAAAAATTGAATATTTAAAAATGTCTTAAATTCTCGCAATAACAATACACTGTCTTACTGTCTTTAGACATATTATGTATGAGAAATAAAATTAATGAACAGGCTTATTACTGATATTCGAATAAGGTAATGGGCCATATTGGATCTTTTTATGGGTCACAGGGGGTCTGTGGGTTGTAATCTGTCCTCTCTTGCTATATGGCTTTATTTCACTCTTTGCTGCTGTCAGATTTTGAATAATTTTGATCAATGTTGGAGTGAAGATGTCTTTGAATAATTTAAATGAGGTGAATATGGTAGGAGGAATGGTTCTGGTTGAAAAAAAGGTGTATTAAATTGAAAATTTACATGTAAAGAGATATCACTGTGAATTTTCTTCCTATTGAGCACTGACTCTGAAGTTGTAGGAGGAATTTTCTTTTGTGGAAGACTAGTGTCATTTGAATTGGACATGCGACCGCGAAGCTGGCCTCGACTTCATTCCTTCGGTAGAGCACTGTCACTTTTCCCTCTCGAATAGGCTCGGAGCCCGGCGGACTTGTTGCCCAACATGCGGTCAAGAAGCGACTGCTTGTTCTTTCGCCTGACACTTAAGACCTCACGACACAGTTCGTGGAATGCCTCAGCCACCTGCGTCACCTGTTCAGCTGCCGCTACCTCACTGAACCAGCATTCATAGTCCTTTGCCAGTATCTCTCCTGAAACATTTAAATACTGAATTTAGGCATTGACTGGCAGTAAGATGGATCTTACTGAGGTTGGGTGTGGCAGGAGCTATCTCATGATAGCGTTGTGAAAACTGGATGGCAAAGGAAATGGAAATAAGAAGATTAAAGAGAGGGAGATAAAATTCATGAATGGAGCAGCAAGATACAGTCTATTGGGCCATGGAAGAAATTAAGATATTTTAGAACAACTTGACATGGACACATTTGGAAATAAATTAAAAAAGTATAAACAAGTGGAAAGAGGAAGAAGGAGGAGGAAAGGATGGTGATGATTTTTGGGTTCCATGAAAAGAGGCTGGAAATTTCTTTATCAGAAGAATTGTTTGCCAGGTACTCATGAAGACTTTGCACTATTGTGTTTGATAATGAATAAAAAGTAACCGTTGATGTCGTCTCACGTAGAGGCGGGAGTTGATTCAGTTTCAACGTTAGTAAAAGCTGAAGGAATGCGCTGGACAATTAATGGCTTGTAGTCCAGTCCCTTAGTATAATTTAAAGTGAGATTCATTAACAGTATTTGACTGAAAGCTTCAGGCTAGTGGTAAGCATTCCGGTTTCATGTTACAGAGGTTGTACGGAGTTCATTCTTCAACCTGTGTTTGTTTTGGTTTGATTTCCCTCAGTCCCTCCTTGATAATGCTGGGATAGTACCTTATCATTCATAATCACTCTCCCACAGCACACAGGTTGAGAAGGATTGTTAAATAAACTAAGGAAAAGCAGTCTCAGGGTTGTGAAAAAAGAACACAATGTGTGTCGTCAGTCTTATTTGATCATCTGGCTTTTAATTATCGCTTATTTGAAAATGAGAAATTGAGAAATAAGTTGTCTTTTTCCCCCCCTCTTGTTTTGACTTTTAAATTGTGCTGCTGTACAGTCTGCTTCACAAATGGCAGGGCACTACCCTCTGCTTCATTTGAAGACAGTCTACAAACAACTTTGCGTTTTGAGGTAACACAGTTTGCATCTGTGTATTTATATCAGGATAAGAAAAGATCATGATTTTGCATTTTGTGTTCATTTTAACAGTTATCTAAGATTGGGGCCACACTGTGTTATTCTGTCGTACCTTCTTCAGTGCTAACTTGTCGTAAGTGCACCATGTCCCCCTTGTTACCAACAAGTGCCAGTGGCGTATCACAGCACAGCATTTGTTTGACACGTCGCACAAAGTTGAAGGAACGTCTGTCAGTGATGGCGTACACCAGCAGACACCCATCTGCCCAGTGTAGGGTTTCACCACTTGGCAGGTCTTCCTCGCTCTGCAACACATTAACTGAATTAAAACCTCAGCAACGAACAGGACTTCAACAATTTTATGTTTTGTCAGGATCGAGTGGGTTTTCAGTTGCTAGCAACATGAAGTTTTGGATACACTTGTAATCACTTGATTGATGGCTGACGTTGAAGAAAGCTGACAAGATGTGAACCAACTTTCTAATTAAGAATGACATTATTGTTTTATGGTGTCTTGTCTTGAGTTATGTAGACGGACAGACTGACATGGGAGGCTACTAGGCACGTTATTGGAACTCTTCGTAATGAACGGAACAAAATTTGGTATTTTGGAATTTATTTTTGAAGGCGTGAACTGAATTCATCCAAAAACTGGTGATTCTTTGATTTAACTCTTTTCTTTCTGTGACCTGTGAGTTACCATTGCCTGGTCGACAGAAACATGTAGGGTATTAAATAATAGTTAATAGAGGCTTAAATATGTGTTACTGTCACATCACCTTAGGACAAGTATCCAGTATCTCAAAGAGTACAGGTTCTCCGTCCACCAGGACTTCGTGTTTGTAGCGGTTTTCTGCACAAAAGAATTAAATTAAATTAAAATAAGGTTTAGAATCTTTCTAAATTACTCAAAATGCTTTCTTACTCACAGGTTTCATGTCTAAAACGTATACATTTCTCATTTCCCTCCACGTGTGCTAATGCGTCACTAATTATAGACTTTTTGGAAGAAGGGCGAAAAATCACACACGTGGGAGTCTACGTGGCTTTAAAATTTCATATTCGACCTCGAGGGAAGGAGTATTTTGGAATAATACGCAAATGTAATTTCTTCCTTAATTCACGTTTTATTATCACAAAAGATGGAAAAGTCCAGTGAAACTCGAAAGCCCTGCATTCGTATCAGGTTATTTTTCTATGCTTGGTTAATTTTGAGTCTATCGTCTTTCGAAGTCCTCTCCTAGACTTTGAACACTTTGATGCGAAATAGAGTCAGTGCGATAAATATCCACGTGATCAGTTAGCGTTTCAGGCACTTCGTGAGCGTGTCATCTTCCCCGAGCCCAAGCGCTTGGTCGCGAACAGAATACCGAATCTCCTCGTATTTTAGCTAACTGAATCTTTTATTTATTATTATTTATTTAGTGTTCTGTCTGACGACAGGTCCATATGAACAGGATCCTTCCATCCTTTTCTCGGACTGGGACCTGTTCATATACGTTCTTGGCAGATGATCCAAAAGTGGTTTGCCATAGCCTTCTTCTGTGTGTGAATGGAGTAATTGTTGGGATGCCACGGAGAAACCGGGGAAGCCCCCGGAGGAAAACTCCGTGTTGCCTAGACCACGGCCTTGCCCAACACAAGTTATAAATTCGGGCACCGCCGGGAATCGAACCCGAGACCCCAGGATTACAAGGCCAGCGTAATCCTTTTACAGTCGAACAGAAAATAGTCTGTTTTACCAAACGGTTCACAATCCTATCAGATATCCGAATTGTTAACGGGTTGGAATGTCTGTTTTGTTTCTGACAGCAGTAGTTTAAAAATAGAAAGGTTTATGGTAGCCGGACGAACGTTGGGTGGGGACACACACACACATCTCTCTCTCTATCTATCTCTCTCTGTGCACACAGTTGTGCCACAGAAGTATGAAGTTGTGAATTTATAAAGCAGCTGTTCTTCATAACGGAGATTTTGGGAAATAATTTCTCATAAAAGAATAGCCAGTGTTTCAAACCCGATCCTATCGAATGTGATAAAATAAATAAACAAGCGAAAGTCGTGGTCGAGTAGTTAGCACTCCACAGCCCACAGACTGACTTTCCTGGCGGAGATTTTGTTTGTGGTTTTCTTAGGTTCGTTCTGTACCTCAAATAATTCCACGACCACATCCTTTAATATCGTTCCAATTCATTCATTAATCATCTTGTCGTTTGACGCTGTACGATGTGAGCTACTAACGTTGTCGTCAGACAACACAAAATAAACGCATATCAAATACAAAAGTAACTTCAATGTAGTTATTACAGACGACAATACAGGTTTTTCCGTTCAAAATGCAACCCTGAATACGACAGTGTTTTTTTTCCCTCAATCTTTGGTGACGTCATAACAGACAGGTCAGTTGCTTTATTAAGTTTTTATTTGTTGTAAAGAACTTACAGAAGGAGATTGGGAGGTTCAGTAGCTTCTGGCATCATTTTTGTACCGCGGCCAGTAATTCTTCCTGGGTTGCCTTCTAAATGGCTCACTCTGCATAAATATAATTCACAAATAGCTGTCTCGTAATCGAAACGCCGACCACAGAAATTTGTATTAAATGCATGGACTAACCTCCTTGGTGGTCATACTCCCCGATGTATCGTCTAGTCAGGAACCGAACAGTTAATGCTGTAACAGACAGAACAGATACATTTAATCGTCGTCCTGATGATGGCGGAAACACGTACATGAGAAACATCGATAAACTTCTAACAGACTACACTGCGCTACTACTCACAAGACAGCCATCTTAAATCCTACCGCCGTGAGAACCTCAAATTATACAAATACATTGTGCACTTGGAAGCACGCACAGGAATCGACTTCTCGTTTGTCAGGAGCTCAAAGATCTTGCAAGAACCGACCCCAACTTCCTTTCTAAGCTCCGTGTGACTTCTTCCTCTTCGCAAAGATGAAAATTCAGCTAAAGGGAAGGAGATTTGAGACGATAGAAGAGATTCAGGCAGAATCGCAGATGGTGCTTGACAGGCTGGCAAAGAAAGATTTCCAGGGATGCTTCCAGGCTTGGCAGCGGCGCTGGGATCGTTGTCTTCACTCCCAGGGGAACTACTTCGAGGGTGATGGATGAATTTAATACCCGAGATAAGTGTACGGGTTTCTATAGGCTCAGTCTTGAAACTTTCCGATCGCACCTCGTATGTTGGCACTCCTGTCTGCTGTCCAAAGAAACTGGAAAATTAACTTAGAAGTAACGCTGCTGTTATTTTGGCAGTGAGTGTCTGAACACAGAACATTAGGAGGCTACTAGTAACTGATTATTGCCAAATATTTGGATGCAGTTGAATTATTTGTTTGTTTGTTGCAGAACTAGTCTGAAATAGAAACTTTGATTAAACGTGAAATTGAATTTATTGGAAACATTCTCCAGTCACGAGAATGTAGACTGAATATCAGTTTAAATTCACGCGGGAACATAAATATTTAACAGAAAAGAATCTATCTATATGTTTATTTCTGTCCGTATAATTTTGTTTCTTGGAAATTACGTGAGATGGAAAATTCCTGTTGGAAGTGGAAATGGGAAGGAATTAAGATGGACCATCCATAGTATATGCGCAAAATAATGGACTGACCTATGTGTGAAAATCTGTCTGAAAGCGAAGTACGTGCAGGTTCATCGGAATTATGTGGAACACGTTTTCACTGTATTTATTTACAGTTTAACTTACACAGACTGAAAGATGAAGAATTTGAGTAATTTTTATTACTTAAGAAGGAAATTCGTCATCATGTGTTGTTAGGGATGGAGTAAAGGGGACTTCAGTTGGATGATGATGATGTGGTTATTATGGGGGAAAACAATGAATACATACAGAATTTTGATGGGTAAACCTCTTTGAATTCCGAGTAGATGAAAGGTTCAGGGGATCACCAAATGTGTCGAAATGTGACGAAGATTAACAAAGTGTGACCAAGCGTGACAAAGCGTGAGTAGGCGTGACGTACTGTAAGGACGTTACGAATTGTGGCCATAAGTGTCAAAACGTCCAAAAAAAATTCAAAACGCTACCTAACCTAACAAAATTCAATAAAGAACATTTCGATAGAGAGCATCATTTTAATATATTTTAAATTTTATATATTAAATGTTAATTGTAATATTTTAATATTTAATAATAATATTTTATTGTGATTATTTATTTTTATTTAGTGTTCTGTCTGACGACAGGTCCATATGAACAGGATCCTTCCATCCTTTTCTCGGACTGGGACCTGTTCATATACGTTCTTGGCAGATGATCCAGAAGGGGTTTGCCATTGCCTTCTTCTGTGTGTGAATGGAGTAATTGTGGGGATGCCACGGAGGAAAATGAGCAGGATCCTTCCATCCTTTTCTCGGATTGGGACCTGTTCATATACGTTCTTGGCAGCTGATCCAGAAGTGGTTTGCCCTTGCCTTCTTCTGTGTGTGAATGGAGTAATTGTTGGGATGCCACGGAGGAAAACTCCGTGTTGCCTAGACCACGGCCTTGCCCAACACAAGTTATAAATTCGGGCACCTCCGGGAATCGAACCCGAGACCCCAGGATTACAAGGCCAGCGTTCTAACCGCTAGACCACCGTGGCGGTTTATTGTGATTAGACTGATAAAATTGAACAAATATATATTCAACACAATATGACGCAACATTATCATCTCTTCAATAAAGAACTTAATATAACCTACCAAACGTTTATTGATGGTTTTACATGCGTGATTTTAGGTTTGCTTTAAGTGCGGCGTGAAAATCCTGTTTATTCAATTTTGACGTAAAATTTTGTTCGCAAAAAAACTGTAGCTTGTATAATTTGAAATGTCGCTGTCCTTGAATTCGTTTAATGCATTATAACGGTTCCAGAAGGGATTTTAACGTTTCTTATGTCTGTCGTTTTTTAAACTTTGTTTTAATTTTGTTTGAGATATAAGAGTCTTTTCCAAGGTCTCAGGATATTTACAAACGAAACCTTTGAGACAGACATGTCTGGGTTTTTTTTTAGCAATAGTTCCTGACTTCTGACAGAGCCAACTGGCTGGTCGGTAAAACATCGAACTGATAATCAGATTCCACGTGTTCGAAACTCTTCCGTTACCTTTGACAATTACAGTCTTGGACATTGGCTATAAGAACATACGCGAATGTCCACTTCAACCA